AATAATCAAGGCATACCTTTAACCTTTGAACCTGCGCCAGAGAGGTGTGAATACTCTGTTGGAAATTAATTCCAATTCGAGGCTGTGTTTTGACTTAGTATTTTTTTTTTTTTTTAATTGTGTTTGTTGCTAATGTTCAGAAAATAAGTCGGATTTTTCTGTTCTAGATTTGAAGTTGATCTAGTCTATACAGATCATGCCCACAAAGTGTTTGTTATTAAGTGTCAAAGAGCCTTGCAACAGTATTAAGGAGTAGTGGTCACGTGTTTGTAACTACCAAGTGTTGAATGTCTATTTAATCACTTGAAGTCCTGGAATAGAGGGAATCATCTGTCAATAAAAAAAATTTGGTACAACAGTTGGCAATGAAGAGGAAAAGTACTAATAAAGAAAGCAGTTTATTGTCGTTTTCGTCGTTCCTGTTTGTCGAGCAGCAGCAAGCAGTCGAGCAAGCAGAGTTGCAAGGGTGGAGAGCATTTGGATCCATTCGCAATACCAAATGGATATAGTTGGAGTAGTTTCGATGAGAAGAACAGAAAAATGAAGAAAACCAAGTCTACTACCAGAATGAAAAACTAAGTGAAATTATGTTCTTTTGATAGATTAATGAATGTTGATTGATTGTCTGTGATTGCTTAAAAATTGTCTGGAGCACGTAACAGTCAATAAATGAATGTTGATTGATTGCTTTTGTTACTTGGGTAGATAACAATCTTACATTTTGAAGCAATTCTCCTAGTGGGGAATTAAAGGAAAAATTTATTTTATTTTTTCTTATATTATTAACATATGGTTTTTTTTTTTTGAAATTTATGTGCATCCTTTAATCATTTGAAGTGATGTGTGAATGTTAAAACCATAGTAGCATCAAGCAGGTCGGACATTTCTAGGGAAGTAGTAGTCGAGTTTGTGCATGAAAGAAGTGGTAGGGAAATCTTCCAGCATGGCAGGGTTGTGGAATTTAAATTTGGTGGGTGTTTATTTCCTAGGAATCACTTTCAAAGCAATATCAGAGCAAAGTTGAGAGAATTAGAATTTAGAGTTGTGAGTCATCAAATGAGAGTTAGAGAGTTGTGAGTCATCAACCATATCCACTTATAAATGGCTTCTACTAGTGTCGTATCAAACTCATCTCAGAATGTACCTATCTTTGCTGGACTTAACTAGCAGTTTTGGCATACCAAGATGAGGACTCTATTCCTGTCCTATGATTTGTGAGACTTGGTTTTTTCCCCTTTATTTTATTTATATGATGATAAATGTTGTCTATTGTTGATAAATTTGGTGGGGGGTCATGGATCATGTTAGTGTTTTATATGGTATTGTTAGTGCGAACTTATTTACAAATTTGGTGGGTTAATACTCTAAATAATCAATGAATTTTATTTTTGTCACTTTTTTTTAAATTTTCGTCACTTTTTTGAGTTTGTCACTTTTTTTGAGTGTTTGTCACTTTTTTTTATTGCTGGTCACTTTTTTAATATGTATAACTTTTTTTAATTTGT